AGTAAGAAGCAGCATTCACATCAGATAAATAAGATCACATCTCCTAAACAGAAAACACCCCCAGAAATTTCAAAACCCTGCAGACAAAGGCCGTTTGAAGGAATGGGCTTTAGCGGGGCTGGGCTATTTGCAAAGGAGGGCTTAAAGAAGTCACCTCCAAGAACAGCTGTGTCAGTGCCTGCCTCTGTGGATGCAGGTCAGGCAGCCCCAGCATCAAGCTGCTTGGGTTTCTTCTGAAGTCCCAAGCTGACTTCAACCCCAGTTGATGTGGGTCTGGAAGCAGGGCGCATCTGCAGCCAACTGCAGGCCATCGTGAAAGCTGGCTCTGGCCTACCACAGACGGAAGGATTCTAAACCAGCTTGGGCCTGTGGGTCTGTAGATCTGTGGGGCTGCAGAAGATTAGCTCTAGGGTCCTGGTGGGGTTCTGGTGCTCTCACAGAGTTGAGTCACAGGACCTCACCTCCCTGGAGTTTAGATGTCAGCTTTGGTCACTCTGAATATTTGGAGTCCGTCCTGAGTCTTGCTGGCACACATGCAGGCCTGGGGCTCTATGGGAGGCATACTGCAGGGGCTGTACTGACTTGACACAGTCAGCCTTCAAAAGTGAGAGCCAACCCTCCTCCCACTGGGTGTTCAGTACTGCCCACTTCCCCTCCAGTTCCTCCAGGTCACCAAAGAGCCGCAGGAACAGCACATCCAGCTCAACCGCACCCCATGCTCTTGGTGTTTTGGGGGGTTGGGGGCGGGTGCAGCTGAGACAAGATGTCAGTAGCTCAGCTTGGCCTCCGTCTCCAGAGCACTGGGACTACAGGTGTGCAGCACCATAACCTGCTCCTGTTGTTTACTTTCACATGAAGCCCCAAATCCTCAAAGGCCCGCTTCTCAGTTAGCTACTGCCCTTCGGCTTCCTTCGGCCCTGAACTTCTCCAGGCCAGCTTTCCTAGCTTCATCACGCCAATGCTTCAATTCTTTGCTCTGAGGAGTCCGTTATTTCTCGTGTTTGATGTTCTACATCTCTTTCCTTGGGAGTCCACCCCCACTTCCTGAAACACAGACAATCACACAATTCCGTAGCTAAGCCCAGGCATGGGAAGGAGGCAGCACCTTCTTTAGCAACAGCCCTGGCCTTACCAGGAACCACAGGGAAAGCAGTCTTGCTCGCCTGAGTGAAATGGAATCTACTGTGGTGGTGATGGTAATTAAGTGATGAGCTCTGACTATGTGTCAAATATGGTAAGAACACTTCTCACATAATTCTGCCAGCAGTCTTTTAACTGCTGTATTTTTTCAAATACAGGGACGTGAGCTCAGGATCCTTAATTAACATGCTGAAAAACCTCAGGCCTAGGCTGGGCATGGTGGCTCTGGCCTTCAATCCCAGCACTCAGGAGGTAGAGGCAGGTGGATCTCTGTGAGTGTCTATATAGTGGGTTCCAGCCAGGGCTACAGTTCCAGGCCAGCTGAGGCCTGTCTCAAAAAAAAAAAAAAAAAAAAAAAAAAAAAAAAAAAAAAAGGCTCAGGCCTATAAACCCTTGGAAGCAGGAGGTTTGCCTCAAGTTGGAAGCCAGCTTGGCCTACAAAGTGAGAACCTGTTTCAAAAAATAAACAATCAAACAACCCTTCTGAGCTTCCTGCCCCTACCTCCTAAGTGCTGGGATTATAGGCATAAGCTACCATGCCTAATAATATGCGGAGCTAGGTATAAAACCCAGGGCTTCCTGCTTGCTAGGCAAGGACTCTACCAACTGAGCTACATCTCCAGTTCTGTCTTTAATCATAGTGCAAAGGGATTTTTCTTAGAAAGCAAGTCTCTGGATTAGTGTGCTGTCCCTGTCCCCCAGTCCTGGGGGACCAAATGTGTCCCAGAGCCTGGCCCCTTCCTGGCCTTACCCGCACAGAATCATTCCAAGGAGGCCTGTCCTTGTTGCACCTGGAGAGAGCATGCTAAAGACCAGCAGTGGGGGGTGAGGGCTGAGGGGTGAGGGGGTGGGCAGAGGCCAGGGGCTTCCTGCCAGCCAATCGGAAGCAACTGCCTAGGCTCTGAGCTCATATCATCTGCTCCCACTAAGACAATCATCAACATAAAAGGCTAATTGTATTAATCACCAAGGCACCCATCCTGAGTCCCCCTCCCTTTTAGGAGAATTATGAATTGCCGTTGCAGATGGCTCCACTGATTGAAAGCAGTGCTCAGCGGGAAGAAGGGCCAGATCAGATTACACACCATTAATTAAAAACTTCCCCTGACAAATGGGAGGCAGGGAATGCACACCAAGAGCCTGCCAGGTTGGGTCCCTATCCTCCCCCAGACCCTCTGTCCCTACCCAGCCCCAGGGACCGAGGCAGAAAAGCCTGCTTCTCCAGCTGGAACTGCTGAGATCCGGAGTGCCAAAGGCCAGCGCTCCCCTCCTCTAAACAGATGGCCTGCTGTCCTATTAAAGGACTCTAGAGAAGGAGAGGCTAACCTTCAGTTACTTGTGTCCGTGTCTAACCTTCGATGCTCTTCAGCTTTAACCTAATTCCTCACTTCCCTGGAAGCCTGTCTCTTGCTCTAGTCCATCCTGACAGAAGGGCAGCTAAAGGACTAGCAGCCCCCAGCTCTCCCCTCAGGCCATCATCCTTGTTCTTCTGGGTTCCCAACTTCTGGGATCTGATGGCCAAGTCTGCTTCAGAGTGGTGGGTGGAAGGAGAGGCAAACTCTGGCCATTGCCCCTCCTGACACCTGCTTGGAAGCAGAGGCTTCTCAGCTGCTGTCATTTTGGCTCATTTGGAGCCGTGACTCTCGAATTTTCCTCCTCTTGATCAATTACTGCCTCCTCTCCTCCTCCAGCTGCCCAGTCTCAGTCACTCATTCATCAAACTTTTATTGAGTACCCAGTGTGTGCTTGGCTCTAGGGATAATTTGTCAAGAAGCTTAAGAGCCTATTGCAGGAGCTCTCCCCTCCAACCCTCTAGTCCCTGCCTCCAGCTTGTCTAAGCCCCCCTAGAGCTCTAGGGAGACCTTACGGGTCTATGCAATGGAGTCAAGTGACCATTATCAAGTCAGTCATATCCTCTGTTTGCACACATGTGCACATATGTGTGCGTGCACACACACACACAGCTGTCCCTGGTGAGAAGGGCTCAGCTTGGAAAAGCATGAATAGTTCTCGGCACCAATGACATTATGGATTTAAGAGCACAGCTGCTGGGGCCAAGGACACTGGCGACAGCCACTTCAGTGGCCACAAGTTGAACCTGTTACCCTGCCCTTGGAAGACTCTGCCTACCCCCTCCTTTATCTCCAACCCATCTGAAGACATTGTGGAAAAGGACCTATCTTTTTTATGGATTTGGTTGCTGCATCCTGTGGTACTATGGTGATGGGTGCCATAGAGATAAGAACTGACTTGAATTGGCTTAGAGCTCTTCATTCCAGGGTCCCTCCCCTAGCCCCACCCCCACAAAGCTCCTAGGTCAGCAGACCCAAGAGAGAAGGAAGCAGTCCCCTCAATGAGTAGATCCAAGGAAAGAGAGAGAAACCTTTCTCTTCCCCCACTTTCAATCATCTGCCCCCCTTCCCTTTTCCTTCCCATTACCAACAGCAGTTGTATTCAAACCCAATAATTACAGAAACCGCAACAATAATCATCATTTATTGGAGTTGTTCTACGAGCGTTTAACTTCCCAAAGCATCTTCTAATCTCATTGTTGCCACGGTACTCCCTGAGGGAGGATTGCACCCATGAAAACAGTGGATAAGCTGAAATCCAGACAGGACCCCACCAACCCCCGCGCACCCCCACCCTTTCTAGGCAGAGTAGGTCCCCAGCAGCCTTTATAGTTTAGCAAACAAATTCCAACTTCTGGAGTCTTTCAGAGGCACTGACCCTCCAATCTTGATTTCTTGGGTCATTCTGTGGCCATACCATTTGACAGGACTTATTTAACAGCTTCTTTAGGGGGCCTGTGATACGGAGAACGAGACTGGCCTAGGTCATGAATTTAGTGTGTCAGGTAGAGGTTTCCCTGTCTTAAATTGTTTTGTGACTAATGCTGAGGGGCAAGCTCCTGTGGAAAGCTGGCCCTAAGAGAGGTCCATCTAGCCCAAAGCTCCCTTCCTTATCCTGCTCATTTGCCAGCCCATGAAAAGGTTCCTCTGTGTCAACTTGTCCCAAGAGTGGAGACTGTCCTGAGCATTTGGGGAGTAGGAATGAAGACCTCTTGGGACAGCAATGTCTGTCCTCAGGAAGTCCCCAGTCTCGGAATCATAATGCCCAAACCATACTCAGAGCAGAGAGATCCCTCTGAGGAGCGCCGAGGCTGTTCCAGGACCTGAGTGGGTAAGTTTGGAGTTTCCTGAGTCCCCCTAGTCAGAGACCAAGCAAAATGGTTTCTGGGCTCCAATTCCCCTTCCCCCAAGACAGGGATCTGGAGGCCCAAGACACCTGCCTCCCTTTGTTGTCATCGGGAGAAGGGGTCATAAAACTAGAGGGGTGACGGAGGACAAAAAAGGGAGGGGTTGGGGGAAGAGGGCAATGTAATACATGTGAAAACAGAAAGAGGTGACTGGGAGGAAGAAGGGGGCCAGGAGGAGGCCAGCAAGGAGGCAAGCAGGGGTAGAACACTGAGGGGGAGGGTCAACAAAAAGGTATGAATGACAATAAAACACATTGCTTTGTATGTTAATTAAAAAAAAAAAGAGGTGGGGCAGGCCTGGGAGAGTAAACCCAGTGGACCTACTCCCAGATTCTTCTGTCCATGAATGTGGAAGCCAGGCATGGTGGTGTGCCGAAGTCCCAGCTACCCTACAGGCAGGAAGATTGTGAGTTCAAGCCAGCTATGTATCTAGCAACGTGCCTCAAGAATTAAAAGAAAGGAAGGAAGCAAAGGAAAGGCAAAAGAGAACTGCATTGCCAGGGATAGTAGAGATTGGCACCTCCTGACCCCCCACCAGGAAAGCCTCAAGCTAGGTCACACAAAGCATGCTGCCCACCTGCAGGCTCTTCCCTTGAGTCTGAGGGGTCACCAGCTACTCTGTCACACGCTCACTTCTGTGTCTTCTGAGTTAGACTGAGAGTCTTTCTTCTGGGGCTCTGCCTCTACCATTTTCTCCACTTTTGCAGTGCCCATAAGGATGGCCAGTCGCTGGGCCACAGTCTTGGTGTCAGGGAATAGGATAAAGTTGTAGATCAGTGAAGCCAGGACAGCCCCTGTGAGAGGTCCCACCCAGAAGATCTGAGGAGACAGAAGGAGGCATGAGCTATCAGTATCACACAGTAGTTCCAGGACCTTGTCTCTTCCCTAGTGCTGACCTAATCTCCCCAGAAGGCTCAAAGAGCCTTCAAGGTGGTAATCAGAGAACTAGGCTATGTAGCCCCAGTCTCTCACCCACTCCTGCCTCTTTATTCTCCCCTGTTTTAGCCAAGCTCTGACTATTGCTGTTTCTGTCTCTGCTTCTGTGCAGTCTATTTCTGTTTGTCTTTTTCTTTATTCAAGTTTGGGAAATTGGTCCAGCTGGAGAAAGCAAAGAAGGAAACAGCCGGAACATGAAGCCTGGACCAAGGCTGCAGCTCCTGCCCTGGTCTATTTCTCGTCCGTCCCTGGATACTTTGGGATATTGAAGCTGTAGGAAAAGACAAGGTTAGCTAGGATACTTGCCCTGGCCTTCACATGTAGGGCAGGGAAATCTCCACTCCTGGGTCTAAATGACCTGAGGACCTAAAGGGCTGGTTTGTCCAATTTTTTGTAGATCCCGCTGGCAAAGCCTATTGCTTCTGCTCAGACCCTCTCCCATCCCCACAGCTACCAGCGGAGGGCCTCACCCAGTGGACTGCAAATTTCCCAACAATGACAGCAGGACCAAAAGAGCGCGCTGGGTTCATGGAGCAGCCAGTGAAATAGATCTGGGGAGCAGGTACAGGTTCACAGGGTGAGGACAGTTCCCCTCTGCCCTGGCTGAGTCCCCACCCAGCCCCATATTACAGGGTATCACCTTAGCCCCAAGACATGAGGGCACAGGGAGAGACACTTACTGGCTTTACAGGGCCCTGGAGCTTCTCCAGGGTGGGCCCCAATATGTGCCCATGCATGGTGTCCCCTTTTCCCCTTACCCCAATGAGGTGGCCCAGTGCCACAGAGGTCCCAATCATGGCAGCTGGGGAGCCCAAGGTTTGCCGGTTGTCCGTGGAAGCAAAGACACAGAGCACCAGCTGCAGGGTCAGAACCAGCTCCACTGCCACTGCCTGGCCAGTCGAGGTGCTGTTGTGGACCTTGGCGGAGAGGGTTATGATGGCTTGGACATGGTTATGATGGCTTGGACTGCCTCACTGACACATCTGGGCAGTGGCCTCATATCGTATTTGGATGCTTCCTCCCTGAGGAAGCGTGTGGTTCCTCTCCCACCCTACCATTGAGTTGGTTTAGAGGGTGACACAGGAACGGGAAAGGGAGGTCTTGAGAAGTGCCTGGAATGCATACTCCAGAGCAGAATGGAGTAGGCTGTGGGAAGGAGTGGAGCGAAGAAATTTGGGGAAGGAGGAATAAAGTTACTTAGGGGAGTGAGGCAGGGTCAGGAAGCTGCTGAGGGAGGGACCCGGGAAAATGGCGGAGTAAAGGCTGTGAGGGACTCTGGCAAGGAAAACAAGTTCAGGCAGGCCCTTCCTCCACCTCAGCCCCAGCCCTTCCTTGGCCATACCCACCCTCCAATGCCTGGTCTGACTCCTTCCCCTCCGAATGCTGCTCTCTGCCCCATGTGATCCTCGCGCCACATCCCCATTCCTGGCTAGATGAAGGCTCCTGTTCAGAGTAGCTGTGGCACATATGTCTGAATGGTTCCCCTCTCCCTGTCTTTCCTTCTGGTCTGGCCCTTTGACCTGACCACCTGACCCTCTCAGATGCCCAAGCACCTTCTGCATGCCCCTCTTTGCACCTACCACGTTGACCCCGAGGGTCTCCCGGACACCTCCAGGAGTGACTCCGTAAAGCAGAGCAGCCCCGACAGTGGCCCCTGCCAGCTGGGCAGCTATATAGGCCACAGCCCGAGGCAGAGAGATGTGGGAACCCACGAGGTAGGCCAGTGTCACAGCAGGGTTGGCATGGGCCCCACTGGTCTTCCAGGAGATCTGCACAGCCGTGGCTGTGGCCAGGTTGAAGGTGATGGCAATCTGCAGCACAGAGGGAAGTGCCACGGGCCAGGGCAGGACTGAGCCCACACCAAAGAACACATACAGCCCTGTGGCCAGGAACTCGGCAAAGAGTGCCTTGCTGATGGCAGTCCAAAGCCTGCCTGCCAGCACGTAAGCCCTACCACACATCCCTGGCTCCATGTCGTGGTGTCTTGTGCCTTGACTGTCACTTCCTTTCCTTTAGGGACTGTTCCTTCCTCTCTTCCCTGATCCCCTCTGTCCCCCAGGGTCTCTTGTCTCTGTCTGTCTCTATCAAGCTCCCTTTCTGTGATGAGTCTTCCGGCACACTGCTGTCCCAAGGAGTGAGCTGCTCAGACTGGTGGGCAGCCTGCGGATGGGGTTATGCATGTCTGGGGGTGGGAGGTGCATGGGGTGATGGCCTGCTTCACCCAGAGCTCACGTGACAGGAGGGGGCAGGCCAGTAAGGGGGTAGGTAGCACTGGGCACTGAGCTGAAACGTCTCACGACAGCTAAGCAGGCTCCCAACAGAGGTCTAGCCTGAGGGCTGTAGACAGGGAGTGGCAGCCAGGTCCCCAGCGTTAGCTTAGATAGGGCAAGATACACAGATTCCCAAGACTGAGGCCTGCTTCAGGGGTTCCTGTGCACTCACAGGGGGTCCTGATCTCCTAGCCCCCTCTGTCTGCAGGCTCTTCCTTCAAAGAGATTGAGTGTATCCTGCACCCCATAAACCTAGAGGAGAAATTAAGCTCTCTCCACTATTCCACCCAGAACCCCACTTACAGGTCTCAGATGTGAACAGAGACAGCTTTAATAAAGATGTGGTTCTGGGGATGCTTGGAGGGGGGACAGAGTTGGGGTTCAATGCATAGTTTCCCAAATGGGGCCAACTTCTACATGTGGCACTGGACAGCTCTGCCATTCACTACTGGGAATTCCCACTGGCCCTTCCCTCCCTTCTCCCCGCTGCCTTCTCTTCACAGCCTTGCTTACCTTTTAGAGTCTCCAAATGTCCTGTGATTTCTTACACTAGGCAGCTTGTCCATTTCTGTGGCCATGCTGGTCCTAAGGTCACCCATGCCTAAACTCTCTGTTTGCTCCCCAGTAGCCTATGAAGACATTTTCTCAAACACAGATGTTCCCTCTCAGAAGACTATGTGGAGCCGTCAAAGTAATACCTGTACCTTGCCCTGACCTCACTCTTAGTCATACCCACCTGCCTACAAATGTCCTTGGCTGTCCTCCGCTCCTCAAATGTAGTAGGTCTCAAAATGCAACCCTTCCCGTCCCCTATGTAGCACCTGGGAAGCACCCTTTACTTTTTTTTGGTTTTTTTTTTCCTCACTAAAGCACCTAGCCCTCCTGATTTTGAATCATGAATGTCTGGACTGTGCCCTCTTCTTGCTGCCCTGCAGCCTTTAGTCAATCTGTGCCCCTCTCTGCCCCTACTCAATCTTCCACACTAATTCGAGTGATATTTCAAAACCGCAAAGCTGAGCCAGCTACTCCCCTACTGAAACCCCCTGCAAGGCCTCAGGCGCCCCCTTTGGAGTTCTGAGCCTGGCTGACAAGGTCCTCTGGGATCTGCTCCTCCTGCCTCCCTCCCCCACCCCTCTTCCTTCCTGTCCTTTGCTCTCTGGCCTCCTGAAATGAGCACCCTGCCCTACTCTAGGGGTCTCCCCTCTACTTGGAGAGCCCTCACCATCCTCTTTGCCTGTATAATTCCTAACCCATCTCCGAGATCAGCTTCCACTGTCACCTGCCCCTCTCCTGCATGAGGACCCCCCTATGAGTTTCCATCATATCCGCGCATTTCCGTTCATAAGTCAGCACATTGTGTTGCTATGGTGTTGATGTGTCTCCCTAACAAGGTGATGAGCCCTTACAGGCAAGAACCACATTTTGTTCATCCTTCCATGTAGTGTTTTGCATGGGAATTGGTCATAGTAGGTTCTAAAAAATGAGAACTTCTCAACCTCATAAAGGCAGGTGACTGTCATATCTGCTTTGCTCCAACCTGTTGGTCCATCAGGCTGGCCTTCTGCAACCCCTCCTGGAACTGAACCCCCTGACTCTTCAAGGGAAATGTCCAATTCTGAACCACAGGGTGACTCATCCCCTCCCCATCTCAGTGCCAGTCAACTCCCTCCCCACCTGCTTCTGTTCCTCTAGCTGTCCCCACTTCCCCTTCTTCTCCTCAGAGGAACCCTTGGCATCTCACTGGGCATAGCACATGCTGTTGCCAGTGTCCCAGTCCTAACTCCCATCCTCTCCACTGTTCCATTCTCATTTTCAACCATCCCTCTCTGCCCCATCTGCTGCCAGGCCCAGCTGGAGCTGACTCTGGCCATGATGGAAGCTTTCTGTCTTATCTGTGGCTCTCACTCCCAGCTCCCCCACTTCTTACTGGTACACTGCCTGATCATCAGGAATGGTGGACAATGGCAGCTTTGAGTCTATTCTGATCCCTTGTATGCTGTCCAAGACCTCCTTGACCTCCAGGCCCAGCCTGCTCGGGTCAGGCACTCCTGTGCGTCCTCTAGCCTCAGCAGGGCCCACAGCTCTGCTCAGTAACCTTTCCATCGTTCCCAGTTGATTCTCTATTCTTTTTTTTTTTTTTTTTTTTTTTTGGTGTTTTTGAGACAGGGTCTCCAGCTGGCCTGGAGCTTACCGGAACTCACTATGTAGACCAGGCTGGGTTCGAACTCACAGAGATCCACCTGCCTCTGCCTTCTGAGTGCTGGGATTAAAGGTGTGCGCC